GCACATGGCTTGTGTATATCGTATATATACATATATATTATTCATACCTTCGGTGTATAGGACGCAAGCAGATTTTGACATCAAATTTGGGGGTAAAAAAGTGCATCTTATACACAGAAAAATACGGTATATGGTGAACCTTTCTCAGGTCGCTTGACCTTGAGATGGTGAAGCTGATTAAAAGTGATAACAAAAAACAAAGCACTGATTAAAATAAAAGATATTTTACCTATGTATTTTTGTATGTTTGATCAGGACTTAGTAATTCTGATAACATTATCTGTGATCACAATAAGCAGAATCCAGTGTGTAATTAAAGTAAAACCAGAAAATCCTCCTTACCTTGGATATCTTGTCTTCATTTTATAAAATAAAGTAATAAAAAGGCATGTTTTCTTCTTTCAAAATAAGTTTCTCTTCAAAAATCTCATAAAGGATCAATATTATTTTTGACTGTTTCCTTTTTTTTTTTAATTAATATACTTATGAAACCTCTTCATGTCCAATATAATGTTTTGAGTCAAAAGGCATTCATAAACTCTATTAGCTGTCATGTTAGTGTTTTTTTTATATCTTTATAAGCCTTATCTTCCCTCATTTTACAAGTGAATTTACTATTTTCATTAGCTAGGCATATTCGTGTACCAGAGTTTTATATACATTCATTCATTATAGCACTAATCTTCTTTTATAAAGTGAAAGGTTTTATTTTGTAATTTAGGGTTAATATTGTGTACTATGATCATTTGCTTTTTTCCCATTCAGTGAAGTATTATGAATATTAACTTTTGTGTGGATGTGTAACTATCATGAAAAAACAAGATGTAAAATTCTGCTGTAAAAGTGACATAAGTGCCCTTGTAGTACAGATAAGTGTATTTGACCTTTTCTATGGTGTGGATTAAGATGTATTATCAATAAACATTTTTATGTAAATATTGATAAAGTTTAACTTCATAATGTTAGTGGTGTCTGTGACTTACATTTAGAAAAGTAGTCAGCAAATGTTAAGTTCACAATCATGTTTTTTGTAGTTACCTTCCCTTATAATGCTAAAAACCTAGTAGATTTGTTCTTAAGAACAACAAAGAAATCTTCCTCCCTCTAGATACAAGTGCCAATCATTGATACAAGTTTAAGCACTATTCTGTTCTTTAGAAAAGTGATAAATGCTATATTTTTGTTACTGAAGATATTTTTTTTACTTAATACTTAATAAGCAAAAGTTTGCTTATCATGAATGATGACACAAACCATAGTATTTAGAATTTCTCTCGTTATTTCCATTTGTAGTTTAAGAACATTTTTCATATAAACATTACAGGGCTATTTATGATGGAGATGAACACCAAAAGTTTATGGAAAAATTGGATGCCAGAATTAAAAACCATGATCGTGATATTGAACGTATGTGCAACTTCCATTACCAAGGTTTTATTGAGTCAATTCGAGAGTTGCTATTGGTACGAACACAAGCTCAAAAGCTGAAGGTGAGCCTACAGCTTCAACTTATTGGTTTTGTTTTTGTAATTTTTTTCAGTCTTACAGTAATTGCTTTTCATTTCTTCTCTTTGTTTTTTTTTCTCTCTATATGTTGCAGTTTGTAATTTGCAGATCTACATATCTGACAAGTGTACCAAAATGATATACAGCCACTTTTTATGGCTTCATTCACCTGCTTGTTGTCATGCAGTTATATTTTGATAAAATGGTAAGTAATACAGAAAAACCTTTATCCCTTAAAATGTTTCTTTTATAACTATTAAAGAAAATCTAATGAAATCATAAATTCTAAACCTAAAAGTACTTCATGCAGCTCATTTCACATTCTTATTGTTTTTGTACATGCAAGTCAATTTTTTTTCCATTTCCAAAGCATACACCCTGTAAATATATTCAGTTTGATTTTAAGTTTATGATTATTAGAAAATATGAAAATTTTACATATCAAACATTATTCAAAATGTTTAGAAATCAATAAAATTCTTGTTATAATTATGTTTTTGGTTCATTCTAGCAAAATAAGGCAGTATGATTAATATTAAGATCAAATTTAAACAAAATATTTTTTTTAATATGATCATTAGTTGTTGTGTTATAAAACTTCACTCATATACCTTGTTTTTATTGGATAATTTCTTGGGATACAGTATCTTATAGTTACATTTGTTTTACAACTGAACTTAGTAACTTTTTTTTATTTGAGATACTATGTGAACTTTAACTTTTATTCTTATAAGATACCTTACCTCTATTTACATATTAGCTTTCCTCAATTATGTGCAAATTTTTGCTCACCACTGGCCTTGAGGCTCCCACCTAAACTCTCATTTCCATGTGGTATTGCTGTGTTGTAATAGGAGTGCAAACATCCTCGTAGCACAGGTGACTCTTTCTATACTGATTATTCAATCATCACTTTTTGATTTGCCATTTGCATGTGTAGACGTGTAATTTTTACACTCGTGCCAGTGATTAATACTTTACATTTTTTTTTGTCTTTACTTTGTTTGTATAAGGCTTTTGACGGATTTTTCCCCCCTTCTTTTCCACATTATGAACTACTTGCAAGTTCATGTAACTGCTACTTCGTCGTATGTAGATCCATAAGATCTTGATCCTTCTAGACAGATTACTACTATGATCTCAGGCTCCTTTCTGTCTGACGTGGAGACATCAGCCATAGTGCATCAAGAGTTGGAGTCCTACATGTGGCCTGGTGACAGATATCCCTTTCCCCTAATTCCAGGCATTACCATCAGTTTGTTCATCAAGGTCAGGTGTCTCAATTCAGCACTCTCACCTTTAGCATTGTTTCAGCTCCATTTTTGATGGTCAAAGCTTTCACTCATCACATTCACGGCCTGGAACTGTGGTTTCACAATTATATGGATGACTAGTTTCTTTTGGTTCCATCCCAACAAACTTCTTATGACTATACCCTTTTCCTTGTTCAGGAGTCAGCACATATGGGTTGGCTGGTCAAACTGTAGATGTTGCATCTCACATCTAATCAGTATCTCATTCATTTAGGTATGTTTTTCAATTTTCACCTCAGCAGTGCCCATCTTTCTCCTCTTTGTTTGAGGGGCATGGAGTTCATTGTTTCCACCACCATATCTTCTCCTTTTCTCACTGCATGGGAGGTTCACTTTCTTATGAGAACTTGGGGTTCCATGGAATCCCTTATCATTTTGTATCATGCTTATATGCATCATCTTCAATGGACTCTGTATGATCAGTGGAACCTGGCCTGGCATCCCTTATCCTTCACCATTCACCTTCCTCCTTTCCTGCATGTTGACTTTGCCTAATGACTCAACAAAGCCAATACCTCAGCAGGTGTTCCTCTCCCTCCTCCTTGTTTGGACATTCATCTATTTACAGATGCATCCTTGACAGGGTGGAGGCTGTATTTGGACTTTCAAGAGATTTCAGGTTGGTGGTTCGATGTCAGATTGACCCTTCATATCAGTTACTTGGAACTGTTGGTACATTGAGCTTTGAATCATTTTATTTCGACAGTCCATGGGCATCTTATAATGATCCATACCAGCAACTCCATTGTTGTCTCTTATATCATTCATCAAGGGCTCCCAATCTTGTTCTCTCTGCTTTCATACTCTAGACCTTTTTGGAGCCAATTCATTAGAAGTTTATCTTATTTCTTGTCATGTTCTGGGTGCCCTTAATCTTGTTACCAATCGTCTCTCACCACCTGATAAGATTCTAACAATGGAGTGGTCACTCCATCCTCTTTTCAAGTAGCTATGCTCTTGGTTTGGCACTCCCCTTCTGAATGTTTTTGCCATTCAACACCAATACTTCCTTGTTCTTCATCCTGCAGCTCTGGCTATGGATGCATTCAGTCAGAACAGGTCCAACCTTTCTCTTTATGCCTACTCTTCTATTTATCTTGTCCCTCGTATGCTTTCCTTTATTCCTACCACTCCGTGTCGAGTCCTCTTGATCGCTCCATATTGGCCAGCTAATATATTGTTTCCCATGTTAAACTTTCTACAGTCCTCTCTTTCTCTTCCTCTGTCACAGTTGCTTCTCCTTCAGTAGCAATCCTCCCTCTCACATCCAACAATATCTGCACTCTGTTTTCATGCGTGGTTTTTGTCTGATCCCTTGCAAGATGCTCATGACTCTCTTCACACATAGCCATCCTTTTTTCTCATTCTATTCTATTCTTTCTTCCTACCTCTTTGTTTATCAGTGTAAGTGACGCATTTGTAGTTGGACACTGTGTCATGGCTTTTCCCCTTCCTTACCTTGTTTCCACCACCTTGCTGAGTTTTTCACTTGGCTGTTCGACCAAGGTTTTTCATTTTTGACCAGTGCTGGCTAAAGGGTGGCACTGTTGAGTACTTTCTTTGAGTATAGTCCTTGCTAGTCTTTTCTGTCCTTTTTCGATCATTTTATCTTCTTTCTCATCCTACTGTTGTTCCTGATTGGGGCCTGAATGTTGTTCTCCATGCCCTTACCCTTCCTCCTTTTGAACCTTTAGCCTTAAGGCTAGTGGCAGGTGAACAACTGCACATATAGAGGACAGAACAAAATCGAAGAAAGCTAATATGTGAGAAGAGGTAACTGTCTACCAGAAATACATTTTCAGTGTTGGAAAATGTTAACATTTGTTTATTTTGAGCTACATTACAAGGGATTATTACTGCCTTATATAAAATACATCTAAAATGAGTCAACCAGAATTACAAGATTAGAGTGGCATATCTTGTCTTTTTTTGGCTGAACATTGTTATTATTAGGATTTGCTTCTGTTTTGATTTTTGTGGTAGTTTATATGTCAATTTGTTTTGATTATTTTTATCTTCCATTTAATCATTATTACATTTTTATCTAATTAAGATTTACTAAACAATATATTTGAATCTTTAAACTAGCCTGCTTAATGAGCTCTGGTATTGACCAAAATAGGCCTCATTAGTAGTGGATATGGCAGATGTAGTGCAGCTAATGTATTATTATATACCCTGCTTTTGCTCATGTGTTTTTAGAATGTGATATAACATCTGACAGAATTTTAACCAATTGAAACAGAAGTGTTCTAACCTAAAATATAACTGAAATGAAATATACATTTGGTAATAAGTATAAATATTGCAGACAATTTAATGTGTTCAAATGTCATATACTCTACTATAGTAAAAACTTTAAATATCTTGGGAGTTCAAGGATGCATTGTTTCTGCAAATGTTGTCTGATTATGCCATTACATTTTTCAGTTATATGAACATATTTTTTCAAAATCAAATTTGGTGCAAAAAGCTATAGATATATCTGGAAATGTAAGCTATAACAAAACATATTACTAAAGCCTTCAATTTTTTTATCATTTCCAAAAAGAGATTTTAATTTCCATATTTTCAATGTCAGTAGTTGATGTTAAGGTTAATAATTATGCAAGGATAGAACACTATACATTAATTTAAGATTTATCCCAGCATGACATTACTGTGGTAGAATTTTTAGCAGACAAGCTAAAATTATTTTTATGGTTAAACAATGTATATTTATTTATGAATAATAAACCAAAGGTACACAAACAAGCTTTTAAAAATATACTTTTTTGAATTATTCATAGTTTGTCAATAAACTGATAAATCAATTTTCTTTAAGGGGCATTTCATAACAAATCATCTGACAGGTAACTTCGTACCACCTCTGATTTGTGAATTTGTATTTTCTTGTGGAAGATGAAGGAAAGCTTGGACATTGAACATTACATATTATGTTCTCATTCGGCACCCAGCACTTGTCATCCTTTTTGGCAAGAGGTACTATTGTGATTTATCCCTGGGTAAATGAATTTATGAAAGTCCAAATATTTTTAGTAATTTCAGTCCATTATAATCTTGGAAATAAAAAATTGGGGAGTCACCCATTGAACATATACTGACTTTTATGTAACTTTTGACTGTATCAGGCTGAATAATTCATTTTCTTTCTAGCACAATACTGTAAACTAGCTTGGTGTAAGTAGGAGGTGATAATTTTACTTATCGTAAGAAGTAAACTGAATTTCATAGGCAAGAGAGAGACATCTTTCATTCATATGGTATCTCTTTCATTATGTTTTTGTTGTTTCAGAAAATCTAACATGTTGTAATTTACTTTTCATTGTTCATAATTTGAAACCAAAGAGATATAGCAAGAATGAATTAGTGTTTTTAATAAGCGGTGTGTGTACATTGCCAACTTGAAAATGACTTCTATTCTGAACACTGAAGCTCTTCACTTATCAACCTATAATGTTTAATATTATCATTAAAACTCATTTTGTGGTAATTTCAAGGATAAACCTAGTACATATGTACCTGATCTATGAAACAACAAGATATTCGAGGGCCTAGAATGCAGAAGTACAGATGAGACAAGAAACAGTGTTGAATTAAAAAAGTTATTTACATAGAAGCACTGAAAATTAAAAAGCTAATCATCTAGTGAAAGAACTGTTGCTGAGTGCTGAAGTTAAAATGTAATTTGAATAAGGCAGGCTTATCTCTGAAACAATGAAAGCCTTTCCTTGTTGAGTTTGAACTTATGCTGTTGACAAAACATACAACTCAAACATTTTGAATGTTCTTTATGAATTGCAGAGCATGCATCACTTATTCTTATGCACTCTTCCACCTTCTACATGACTTACTGAACAAGGATAAGGGGATCTCACATAAGCTCTTCCTTCCTGCCATAATGTTGATTTCTTTGTTAACAGTTGTGCTGTTCACTTCAGGCAATCCTTTTTCTGTGGTGAATTCTGAAGTTTATGTTCCTGTTTCTCTTGCTTCTTCCACATCTGTACATGATTGAAGTCCATCTACTTTTCTTAAAACCTTATTTCAGCACTCCTTCCCTGGTGTAAAGGGAATTCTTGAATACCACATTAAATGTACATTATTATTTATAAATCTACAAGCTGAGGTACCCGTTCTTTGTCAGGGTTATGTACTTAAAACAATGTGAGTGAATGCTATGATAAATAACACAAAAATCTTACTTTCACACAGTTTATTTATAAGACATTATTACATTATTCATTATTACCTCACCAAAAAGTTTGTATAAGCTTTAAGAACTGAATATGTATATACTTATAACACTGTGAGATGGTCAGAATGACTTTGTATGAAGAGATATTGGCCAAAGTTGTGCAGTAGGGGTGCTTTCTGTTATCCACTTTCAACACCCAGTTCTTAATGTCCTTCCATAATGTTTCATGTGATTAATTAATGTGATCGTCATTAGCCACAGAATTGTCTGACAGGCCGAAGTTGAAAGATCATTGGTCAAAGTAGGAAGATAGTATAACTCAAAAAATAGCTCTTCATATCAGACTTATGGTGGCTGTTTGAGTAGAAACTTCAGCTGAGTTTATGTATTATTGCAATAGTGGTGGCCTTTTTTTTTATTGCACTCCTCCATAGAGAGGGATAATGCACTCTCTGAGATATGTAAGATGTTTGTGTGCCTCTCCCCCACACACACACTAGGTTTATGTTGTGTTATAGAAAACGTAAAAAAGTTGTTTTTTTATGTAAGGATGTGGTGCTATCTTTCAATGAACTTATACAAATATAACAAATACTCAATAACAACAATAATGGGTGGTGGATTATGAACCCCCCCTCTCCCACCCATTAACATGCCCCTGTATCAAACTATCATCCCACAAAGTTTGGTTGAGATTGGATCACTGACCTAGGGGTAGTTCGATAATGGACAAACAGACATACACTATTCCTGCTGATTTATTACTGTCTGATACAGAAATATCAGTCCTTAAGAAAGGTCTCAATTTCATTCCAACAAGAAATTCTATTGATGTATTCACCCTTCGAGAAGACTTGGAGAAATTTTACTTTAGGTTAAGATTACAGGTTCATCTTTCAAAATCAACTCTTTCTATAATCACATCTTTAAGTCCTTATATAAATCCTTTGTGTGAAAAACTCATCTTGACATCAGCATCAACCAACTTCCAGTTGTGGATCAACAACCCCCAGCTACACCAAGTAACTACTTTTGACAGTATTGATGATCATTTAACTTCCAATATGATGTTCACTACATATCAGGACCAACATCTCCAATATACTAGTTCATCCCCTAATCAAGACCTCCATTGTGATTTCAAGAAATACAAGAAAACAAACTCAAAGTGGACACTATCCATTGGAACATTCACTAGCTTAGAATATTTTATACAAAAATTCCGTAATGACAAATTGGATTTACTAAGTAAACCTAAACACAGTAACCTAACTTTCAACAACTTTCAATTCTCTGATAGTGAATAGTATATATTTACCATGGACATACAAACACACTAAGCATCAATTTCCCATAATGATGGTATGAAAGCCCTCAAACATTACCTGGATCTGCGTTCTTCACTAAATCCTCCCACGCATACCCTCTTACGTTTTGCTGAACTTGTAATAACTCTGAACGGATTCTCCTTTAATGGCAAATTTTACCTACAAACAAAAGGTGTTGCTATGGGTACCAAAATGTGTCCTCCTTATGCTTCATTTTTTGTTGGTTACATAGAGAATCCAATTTTCTCCACTTACCGAGGAACATTTCCTACTCTTTACAAACATTATTTTGATGACATTGTTGGTACTATCAGCACACTCTTGTGTGACTTAAATCATTTTTTACACTTCGTTTCCTCCTTCCATCCAGTGCTTACCTTCACATGGACAGTTTCCTCCAAGAGCTTACACTTTTTAGGCATTCTTGTCTCCATTGCAAACCGTCATTTATCGATTTCAGTACACTACAAATCCACTGATTCCCATTCTTACATCCACTATGACTTCTCATCCATGTCATATATTTCAATCTCTTCCATATACACAGTTCCTAAGACTGCACAGACTCTGCAGTGAACAAATCAATTATGAGTTGAAATCTGAAGTTATGAAAGATTTATTTATGATTCACCTCTACCCCAAGTCTTTAATAGAAAATGCTGCCCAATGCACCCATTCTGTAACCTGACAATATACCCTAAAACCTAAATCTAAGTCTACAAACTTTCAAATATCACTTATCTTAATACCTTATTAATACCATCATAATATCTCTAAAGTTGCTAACATCATCAAACAAAACTTTAATATCCTCACTGATGACCCCATAACTTTCAAAATTTTTAAAGAATGCCCACTTGTCAGTTGTAGACATGATAAAAATATAAAAAACATTTTAGTCCACAGTGTCATCCAGAAATCTACCCCCTAGTGTGAACCTGGATATAGCCTGTTGTCAAAGAAATAAATGTGTAACCTGCCAATATGTTAACACCATAACATCCATGTCTGGCCTCAATGAAAAATTTCAGATACAAGAATCATTCACTTGCATTTCAACAAGATTGATATACTGTGTATGCTGTAAAAGTGCAACATGCTATATGTTGTATGAATGGGTTGATGCTTATGAGATCGTTCATGTGAACATCTCTCTTACATAAGAAATAATGATGCTACAAAACCACAGATATACACTTTAATAACTATTCATATTGCATGTCTGACTTCTCCATACTAGGACTCATATTTGCTTCATCCACTGTAATGCAATGTGAATGCCTGGAAAAACATTTGATTTTTAGATTAGACACTGTCAGTCCCTTTGGAATTAATGAAGAGTTCTCTGTCCTTTCCATTTCCCCACCCAACACTTTATCTATACTTTCTCACACTGAAAATTTGTGTCTTCAACTTTTTTGTTCAAGGTTCACACTATTTTTCCTCTCTAGTCCATGTACTTTTGTTACATGTATATTCTCTTCATTTCACAATCATTCTTTACTCCTACTAAGTTCACATACCTTTTATTGTTGTATCTCTTTGAACAATATTACCTGATGCATGTGTTCATTCATTTCCTTACATTGGTGCCTATATTCTTGTTCTAATTGTTTCTTATTTTGATTTAGTTTATTTACTATGACTTACAATAATTATACAATCTTGATACCATATATATGTATATATGTTACTTCCTTAGCTTATTTGTAGCTCAGGAACTTGTTCTCGAGCCATTGAGCCACATGATGCTTGTTTTTTCAACCTAACCCTTGTATTAACAGTTTCATTCTCACTGGAAACCTGATGAAGGGATGTTGCTCAAAACATTGTTTTCGTGTTTTATTAATAAAATTATTTTAATTGGGCAAGATTTTCATCACTACTTTATATTTTATTTTGTATTTTCCTAGCCTATGCAATTATTTTATTACACAGATTTTTGTGCTTTATATATATATATATATATAAATTTTCACACTTCACTTCACTAACATAGTGATCTATAAATCTGCATATTCATACCAGAAACACATCCCCCAGAGTGAGCTTCCCTTATGAAATACCAAAAGTATTATATGTGTAGTTCAATATACACGACCATAAAATGCAGAAAAAATAATCATTGAAAAGTTGTGTTTGTAGTCATCCTTACATTTTTTCTGCATACCCTTTTGTGACAAAGTAGAGTTAAAATTCTTATTGAAAATTTCATACTAGATTTAAAGATAACAGTGTTATATATAATCATGTATAATTAAATCATTGTAATGTACTTAGGATTTTTATCTAGGGAGATTGTCATTAAAGTGAGTTGGTAATGAAATAGGATACTTCATGTTATTTAAAAAGATTGTATGGTCATTAAGCTATTAGGGCTCTTAATCTCAAAATATTGTAAATTCTTAAGTTGTTTATCTTCTAGAGACAAAAACTGAAGTGATTGTTATAGGTTGTAGACTGCATATCTTGTTCCATCTAACTAACTATAGGTGATTCAAACTTTTCACTCATTGAAATTTATGAACAGATGTGATTCATGGCATTGAATAATGAAAGGCTGAAGTGTTCATTTGTTTTATTGTCTTGGCAGAATGAAGTGAATGTAATTGACCAAGAGCTTCAGTTTACTGTTCGAAGGGTAATTCAAAAAGCTGAAGAACTTATTAAATACAGAAAAGTACAGACACATATTGCTTCAGCCGTTGAGAGCCTCAGTTTGTGTCTTCCTGTTTTAGAAATGTATGGAAAACTTAGTCAGCAGATGAAAGAGAAAAGGTATGTATTTTTTGTTTTACCTTGGAACCCTTGATGAATGATTTTTCAATAAAAATAAATTGTCAGTCATATTTTTAAGCGTATAATTACCCACATGACTTTAGAAATTAAATCTATCAGAAATGTGTAAAAAAGAAATATTTTTTTACTCAAATCAAAATTTTTCACTTCTAAACTAATATATGTGAAAGAAACAGTTACCATTAAAACCAAAATAGTAAACTTTCACAAGTATCAAGAACTAAAAAATAGCTACATTGAACTTCTTCATTTACACAGGTTACTTTTTAACCTCCTCCTGTGTTATTACACTGTCTGTTTACAATTGAATGTCCCCCCCACCCTTATACCACCACCCTCCAATTTTTCTGCACCAGAAAGAATGCTAGCAGAATTGTTTCAAGAAAGTATTATGTATTACAACTTGTATATGTACATATTTTTTATGTGTAAAGCAACATTACAGTGTTTATGGTATTTATTATATTTGTGTGAAAAATCCAATAAATTTATTTTCTGAGACAACAACTCACCATTTCACACAGTTTAGCTATTTTCTGCCTGTGTTTTCACCTTCTGCCACAGAGGTTTGCTTGCCACTAGCTTTGTGAAAACTCGCACATAATTACATGTGAATGTGTGCTACTGCATGATGATGTTATCATGCAACAAAAACCTTCCACCAATAGGAATGTGACACACTTCTATGTGCAATAATTCCCTGACACTTTCATGCTCATGGATTCTCGTGATTTTCCTTAGCACATTGTGCTCAGAGGTGTTCGAATTTGCTGAGATTTGTGATGTTACTTCAACTTGAGTTTATATGTACTCAATATGCATTCACAGTTCAATGTGAATTCTACTATTCTGATGTGAGTGAAGAATTACCTCACAGAGAACATACTACAACAATGGCTTCTGGAAGCTATTTAAATGTGTAAAATGTGATGGCCATAGTCCAGCATGTAGTGGGGTCCATCATGCAGCCTGGACCCTCTGCTTCTGTTGCTTCTACTAATGTCCCTTCCCCTAACTTCAAACCTCATAATGAAGAAAATATATTTGCCTACTGAAAAAAATACTCAGGCTTCCACTAACTTTCAGAAACTTTTTTGTCAGGTTATATGTACTGTTCGTTCTCTTACCCCAGTGTCTTATTGATCTTCCCATCTACTTCTACACAACCTTAATCCTTGTTACTTTTTTGTATTTCCCCCCCTCTCCTGACATAGCTGTACATGTCAATCCATTTCTTGACCAGGTTCCTTGCCCCCCCCCCCCCCTTCATCTGACTCCAATGTTTTGGCTCATTGCTACTCCAGTTCACAACTTTCAACCTTTGGAGTCACTTTGACCAGCTTGGAGGATGGAATCCTTTTCTGAAGTTTCCCTTTCTTGTACCTAATCTTTTCATTGTTAGGCTTTCTCTTTATCCTCCTTTGATACATGTTTTCAATTTATAACTGAAGCTCTTAACCTCTCCATAGAAAACTTTTTTGGGGAAACTCGATCCACTATTTTTCTATTATGACCCCATTCCATTTCCTCCACTCTTTCCCTTCTCAACTGGTTCCTATGTTGTTAGGACCTCTTGGGAAAGGATAACCTCCTCTCATAAGTATATACCCTATCCTTATTCCTCTGCAACCTTTGCCTTGCCCCCTTTCTCTGTCCTGAGGTTTTTGGTGGTGTTCCTAATTCCTTGAAATCACAGGTTGAAGCTGCCCACAAACAATTTTCCATAACCTCTTTGGTTTCATGTTTGTCTCATTTCTGCCCTACCACCTCTGTTCCTCACCCTGAACCTTCTACCACTTGCCTTTTTGTTCCTCTTTGCAGGCATTCCCACTTCCACCTGACATCAAACTCATCAGTCACAAAATAGTCAGTGCGAGATCTGTGGCACTCATCTATCATGCTTTGCTGGTATGTTGGCACACTTCTTGTCTGACAGATGGGTTCTTCAGATTTTCACCCACAGGCTGTTTCTACAATTCTCCCCCTACCTTCAGTCCCAACCTGTTTGTATGTCCCCCCTCTCCAATCATGCATACTTTTAATGTCTCAAGGGGGTGGTGTTACATTTATTTGAGAAACATGCCATTGAGAAAGTACATGACTGCTTTCGAGGATTGTACTCTTGTTTATTTATAGTTTGCCAAAAAACTGGGAACTGGTGTCTGGTCATCCCTCAATCACTATTTGGTCATCCCACACTTTCAGATGGAGAATTTCTTCTTTCTCCATTGGTCATTTTCACCCAGCCTGTGTATGACCAAGTTTAGTATTTTGGATGCTTTACTCCATATTCTGATTGCTCCATCTTCCAGATATTTTCTTCTTTTCATCCACCGAAACCACATATTACAGTTCAGTGCTCTTCCATTGGTATAACATTGGCCATCACTTGTCAACTTCACTGTCTGGGTCTTATGTTCTATTTATATATGAACAACTGGCTTCTTGCCCATTTCTAGGTAGAATCCTCTTAACATGCTTCCCTTCTTCTTCACAAGACTACTTGTTTTGGGTGGCTTGTCAAGATACTTAAATATTTCCTCACGCCTACTCAATATGTTATACATCTGGGAATTATTTTCAACTCTGTCTCAGCAGTGCTGAACCTTCTCTTATTCACCCGCAGGATCTTGGGTGTCTGATCACCAAAATTTGAGCCTTTACTTTTCATTATGCATGAGAGGTTCTTTTTCTTTTGGGGATCATGGCTTCTTTGGAACCACTCATTCCTCTTGGCCATGCACATATGCATCTACTCCAGTGGACATTCCATGACTAGTGGAATCATACCAGGGATCCTTCATTCTCTGTTATCTACCTCCTTTCTTCACTTCTCAAGAAGCTCACTTGGTGGCTATATTGCTCCAATACCACCTCTGGCATTCTATTACCACCTCAGAGAACAGAAATTCACCATTTCTCCAACACTTCCCTCTGAGATTGGGGAGTGACTCTGAATAACAATTTAATTTTGGGCACTTGGTCCCTGAAAGAGAATTCTCTACATATTAGTGCTCTTAAACTTCTTGCTGTCTGCCAGATATGCACACATTTCCTACCCCTTCATATGGATTATCTTGTAATGATACACTTGGACAATTCCTCTGTTGTATCCTACATCAACTGCCAAGGAGGCACCCACCCCAAGATCCTTTGATTTCAGACATTGAGCCTATTCCAGTTGCGTACGTTTAATAGCGTGTCATGTTGTGGGTGCACTGAACATCATTGTGGACTGCATCTTACCCATGGAATGTTCCCTACATCCTCAGATTTCTGTTGTATCTGCTCCTAACTCAGAACATCCAAACTTGATGCTTTTCCGCTCTACTGAATACTAAACTTCCTCTCTTTTGGTCTGCTGTTCCCTTCCCCTCAGTTTTGGCTGTCAGTGTCATCAGTCAGGACTGGTCTCGTCTTTTCCTGTATGCTTATCCTCTTCTTCACCTCCTCCCTTTGGTCCTTGCTCTGATTAGGGACACCCCTTGCAGTATTGTATTGGTGGCTCCTTACTGGCCAACCACATCCTGGTTTTCTCTGCTCCTTCAGCTCTCAACCATTCTCCCCTTCCTCTTCCCATCATCACATCTCTTCTATTTTAACACCACACATCATTGTTTCAACAAGGAGGTTCCTCCATCTTGTTGACATATGGGATTTGTCTGGTCCATCACTCATTGAGTCAGACTTCCGATCATGTATCCTTTCTTCTGCCTCAATCTTTTTGCCTTCCACTTTATCTGTGTACAAACGTAAATGGCGTGCTTATTGCCATTGTTCTCTCTGTCATCACTTCCACCCTCTCCAACATACTTTGCACAATCTTACCACTTTCTTTACATGGTTGTTTGACTGTGGCTTGTCCATCTCCACCATTGCTTGTCAACAGGTGACATTATTTTATCACATTTCACCCAATTTGATACTGCATGATATTTTCTTTCCCGGTCCTTCCTTATCCACAGACCCTCTCTACCTAGGACCCATTCAAACCTCTGAAACTTTGTTCTATGTACCATCTTTTTCTAAAGACCAATTTCTTTCTCCTTTTAGCCTGTAGTCATTGTCATTCAGATGTATATGTCATTGATTCCTCTCGTAATCTCTTCCATTACATTTACCTTCTCCGCTATCCAAACTGCTCCTTCCTTCCCAAGACTTTCACTCCTAGGGAACGTAGTGGCCACACTTTTTCTCCCATCTTTCTTCCCCTCTATCTCCCATCTTTATGATCATTCTGACTAAAACAGACTACTATGTATGGTCTAGGCCATTCAGTGTTTATATATCCTGTGCTTCTACCTTTTGTAGTCCCCGTCACTGCTTTTTGTTCAATAGGTCCCCTCCACATTTAGAGATCTCTCTCCTTCTACTCTCACAGGAGGGATCCTTCAACTTCTCTGCCTGGTATATGCATCTCTGGGGAGGGTGGATACTTGCAGAATCTTTAACATCTCTTTGCATCAGATTCGTTACCTTATACATTCTTTTCTCACACACTTTCACTTTCACATGGACTACCCCACACATCTTCATCGCCCACTATCTCCACCACCAGGCTGTCTCATCTTTGGAGAGTTTTCTTATTCCTCCAGTAGGCATCCTACAATCAACCCACTGTCTTTAAAACAGGTGAGTAAACAATTTTTTTTCACCCTTTTTTATATTGCCTCTAAGGTTACATTTACCCAAAATCAGGCCAGGATAATGGAAAGCGTTCATACCATCTGTCACGGCTCTACTTGTGCCCACTATGAGATGAGGTGTTCTTCAAGTCCACTTGAGTATACTTGCAGTGTATACATGTTTTCAACGTACTGTCTGATCCAGACCATACTTATTCCATGGACTATCATAGAAAAAGCCAGCATCAGAGAAGTGTTTCTGCCCACTTCTCTGGCTCATGTTTGTTGGCTTTTAAAAATGGATTTCATGGTCACCTATTACCCTGTCTCCAGTAAAGGACTCTACCGGACTGAAGGACTGATGGGGAACCGGGCACATTCTCCATGCCTTTCCAACATGACCCCCCCATCTCCTTTATCGAGTGGAGTACAGGAGATTCTTGCCACTTACCAATTCCTAACTGCTAGAACAAGGAGTTCAATACAGTGAGAAGTAGGGCAGTAGTGATACAATTTGTGTAATACAGGTTATCTCACATATAACTCGGGTATATCACATGTGCCCTCCTCCTGCAACCTGAGTCTGTTCAGTAGAGTTGAGGTGAGCACACAGTAAATGACCATGTCCTCCTCTGGCAGCCAGATCTTGTTAAGTAAAGTTGAAGTTTGAAGTTCCTATATATGGACTGTTGGTGTAAAATACAGTTCCCTCCTCATGCAGGTAGTCTACTCCATAAAATCTGTTCAGTTGAGTAGAGGTGAGCATTCACTATACAAAACCAGTAAATATTTATATCTGACATGTCCTCCTCCTCCTTTAGTTTGTTCAGTAGAGTCAAGATAGTGTATGTGTCATAGAGTCTGACAGTAGAGTTAATGTGAGCACTCCATACACATCTGTGATGTATCTCTCACATACCCTTCTCGAACAGCTGGTGTTGAGCCCAAAGAGACTGACACTCGTTGTAGTTTATAAGTACATAATAATAAAGTACCCTCCTCCTGCAGCTGGAGTTGGTCTCTTAGAGTTTGGCAGTAGAGTTGAGGTGAGCATGGATATTTATCACAAGTGTTCTCTTCCAATAGCTGGTTTTGACCCATTGAGTCTGATGGTAGGATTGAGGTTAACACACAAGCTACAGTCTGAACTAGTTCCAACCACACTATACATTTTGGTTGTTTGACGATTTGTGAGCAACTACTTGGACAGTCATGTATCAATTCCTCCACCTGTAACACAACTCTGGCTTCTTTGCCTCTTCCCTTTCCTATATAAATGAAGAGTATACCCTGGATGAGAAGAGATGCAGTCTCTCAAAGATGTGCCCCTATGAAGCCCCTGCTATTGGTTGTCACACATCATGGGCTTCCTTCAAGGACTTTCTGAAAAGAGCTCATCTAGGTAATTCTACCATCTCAACGTGGGATTCTGGCTAAACTGTGTGTAGAGATGAGTTATTGTCCCATAATTAACATTTTCTTTACTTGAAAATGTATTTTTGATAGATACCTCCGCACACATTCCCACCCATCCTTCTCACTTGCATTGTTAAGGAATGAGGGTTCAAAAAAGTGAAAGCATAAGGGGAGTTATCATGCATGGAGGTGTGTTACACTAATGTTGTTGGATGGCTTTTCCTGCACGATGGCATCATCATACAGTGGCACAATTCACAGAAAATTACTTGGGAGTTTTCACAAGGCTATTAGCATGCAAACTTCTTGGGTAGAATCAACAAGTATGTGAGGAAGATAATTAAACTGTGTGTGTGAGATGTGAGTATCGATCAGAAAATCATTTTGAGGTAAGGGAAATGTTAACTTTATAGAGAGGACAAGTAAATTGTAAAACTAAAAGTAGGTAGGAAATATCAGTTTTATGTCACACAAATAAAGACTTGTTTTGACAACTGATTCAGACCTATGCTGATTATGAAGATTTGAAACAGCTATTTGTGGGATAATAGATTTATGTCTGTAGAAATAGATTTTTTCTTGTTACATGGCTTTTATATTCTGGTTTAAGGTAGAAAACTTTTCTACTAATATTGTATGTGCAAAGTTAAAGCTGGAACATGACATCATACTACAAGTTACTAGAGAGTAGTAACAATGCATGTAAGTCTAGCCTGTGGTATTTGTAGTCTATATGTGTAGATTCTTCAGTGATAATATTACAGATTTACTTAACTAATTCTTAATAATACTAAGTAATTATTTTTTCAAAAATAAAAAACGTGCATTTGTATGTTGAATGTTTAGTTCTCTAATGCATACAGCAAATGTTATGGTATATAAACTGATACACCCTTCAAAAGACTGTTGGTTGTGTTTTAATATAATTTCATTTGTTTAATAAAGTTTTCTTACTTGTTTTCTGCATCTGGCAATCAAAGATGACCATAATGACTAATTATATACACGTGATAAATAAATTAGCAAAATTTTATTCTCATTATCTATTACTTTGAAAAGAAACTGGTGCTGAATTTATTTCAGACACAAAAAAGCCATACAGGAAATTGTTCAAAACAAACACAACATATAAAAGCAAAAATTAGTTGAGCTACAGATACTAACCAGTATGTAATTGTATTCCAATTAGAAATGCAAAACAATTGTAGAAAGTTCCAGGTATCAATTAAAAATGAAAAAATTATGTTTTCAAACATTATTTTTGATTAAAAATAAAGAAATTGAAGTTTCTTAAATTTTCAAGATCTTTAATCTTTATATACTTATACATTATGTAATGGCACTGTTAAGCTTAGAACTAATTTATAATTGAAAGAGATTCTTTTATATATATGTTTATAATGCTGATGGAATCCTGAATGAACAGTACTAAATTTTTATTTAATGGATTTATTTTGGATTAAATTGATGGTGTAGTAGTGGAATCTACTTTAGTCTCTGTTTTACCTTATCATGAACAAAACTTTCTTAACAATTATCCTGAGAAATATTAGCTTTCATATTAGTGTAGCTGTATTTGTGATTCTTTTGTAATTGTTAAATCATCTGAATATGTTTATAGGATTTCTAATTGTTTTAATAAAAGACATATACACATTACATTATCTTTTGAATGTGAGGAAGTGTCAAGTTAAGCTTTTTTAACTGATTAGTTTTATATATATATATACAAGGAAGTAATAAACATTAATCATATGCTAACTAAAACAGAATATTACATACATTATTTTTATAAACAGAGTGTTAAGATTATATGAAGCAACTGATTACATAATTGAATAAATAGAATTGTTTAAACATTTGTTTAACAACAAGTAAAAGCTTGGAATGGTCTCTTCTTT